TGGAGGCCATAAAAACGGACCAAGGCCATTTCTCGTGCCATCGCCATGCGTCGATCAAATGGCGTTATTGCGCCCGAGTTCTCTAATACCAACGGGGTCGAATTGGTTTTGCGCGTCAACCTTTTGATGGGATTGGTTTCACAAAGAACAAAAAACTGGCGATCCTCCAGTTTTTTTTCGCCTTCTGAATGTAGTCGCTTCTGTCCAACATTACCGTAGAACGTCCCTTGTCGGCTGGTACGATAACAATATCCCGGTCGGCTTTGAGTTTTCCTAATGCAACGCGTTCGACCTTGGAGAGAAATTCTCACGGTTGATGAGCCATCAGGAAAGACGATACCTGGTGTCGGATAAGGCTCTTCGTCTCCTCCATTGTTTCTGTCTGACTGATGACTAATTTCACAGCTGCAGTCATGTTAGCAGGTTTAGCATCAGCTATGTTGAATGAGGCTTCGTGCTGTAGAACCTGTATTTGCTCCTTCGTCAGTTATTTAGCATCAGCCATGTTGAATGAGGTTTCGTGCTGTAGAACCTGTATTTGCTCCTTCGTCGGTTCTTTCGAAGACAATTGTGTATCAGTACGTCGCTTCTGGATGGCATTGAATTGTGCAGTTTGTAGAATTTGTTCTCCAGTGCCGCTTCATGAATTGCTTGTTTGTCGCGGGCCCTCTCAAGCACTCTCTGCTGAACAGTTTTTGAGCTGTACCCACACATGAGCTTAGAGCATTTGGTCTTCTCACAATCAGTTATCTGGTGGTATTTGCGTAGCCTCGAATGGCAATCTTGAATGAGCAAACGGATCATTCTCTAACATTGTGCGTCTCGCCTTCTCCGTGTTTAGCGGGCATTTGTATCTCACACTCTTCGGCAGCACGTTATTGTCAAGACGTCTATGCAGAAGCCGGATCTGCAAATAGATTGAGGCCTCGCGAAGGGTAAATGTTTCCCATTGTTGGGCCGATTGGAAGGCATCGTGCCCAAATAAATTGCCAATACAAGCGAACATGCCAGTCCCAGGAAGTAATTGAGAAGGAGACGACTCGATCGCCGAGACCATACTTTTATTCGCCTTCACGAATTCATCATCAGAGACATTAGTGGAAAATGGTAGTAGAAACGATGATGGGAAACATTTATTCTTGGTGAGACGTTTGTTAAGAAATACTCTAAGTAAAACACAAATATATTGCATGACTAAGGACAACAGAAAGACCAAACCATTTAGAATTGATGACTTATCCTTCATTTATCACGCCTTTACATGATGACAGCCGAAGAATTGTACGTGACCCTCGAGACGAATGGTCCGGTTTACAGTGAACGAAAAGTGAGTTTAAATACATAGAAATCCAGCCGCGCAGATCGAGTCCACTTCGCTTGGGGATGTCTCAACTGTCAGATAGTAGACATGTCGTGTCCCACCCTCGCCCGGGAACAATCCCTTTATCGACCATGCTTGAATACCTTTGTCAGAAAACATATACAGACTTGATGCGCCTAGTTGATCTGTATGCTCATTTGTCTTACTGATGGCACTTTAAATTAGACTCCCGAGTAAGACAGACCTGGAAAAAAAAATCGAACTTGCGAAATTTTTCAGTCGAACAAGGAACTTATTCATAAGGCTTGAAGCACTTGTAAAATGGGCCAATAGTGCATCCAAGGTGGACAAATGTGAAGTAAATTAAAATACCCATTTACTAATGTAGATTATTTGTAGAAAATATCAAACTTCTTGGACGAGCAGAGCTTCTTTTTGCTAAGCACTGCTAATAGCCTCTCTTCGCTTCTTCGCGACAATCTTGTTGAGGCGAGGTACTGATATCTAATAATTCATGTGTAGGTTGCCGCCGTTTGCCGTATTACACGCCATCGATATTTTTGTGAACAAATCATATACGCGTCTTCCCAAGTGTATTAAGGTACCAGTAAAACTTCAAAGCACTAAAGCTTCAGTCGCAATTCGTTCCCCCGGAGCCTATTTCCGACAGAGAAGCGAAAATGGCACTTCTAGATCTGAACAGAATTATCAAATATCGCCTGAGCATGACTCCGCTTCCTCGCCAATTTCTGGACATCTCAATAAGTTGGCGTTCACCATTCTAACCAGTATTTTGTAGAAAATGGTTGTGTCACTTTCGTTGTTCCTAATGAGTTCAAGGTAAAATTCGCCTTTTTAACATTCCTTCAGGTCACGCTTACGCTCTTATCAGAGGCTCTGGATTTTCCATGGCGCATACTTTCTATCTCTTTACTTGTCTGCGACCCAGAAATCAGTGGTAATTTTATTAGAACATTAGATTTTAGTCTCTAAATTCTCGTGACTTATATTTTAATAGCAGTTTCTCATCAAAGGTCTTTTACGTCATGTATTACGTTTGCAATTGTTGCAATTTTTACCATCACATTCCTTATACTTATTCCTTATTTCAACAGCTGGATCCCCTCTTCTTCACCCCCTTCAAACGCGCTTCCTGCATTCCCAGGCTCAGTCGCGAATTCTCTACCAAAATTTCGACAAGCGTCCACCTCTCCTCCACCTCTATGAGATGCTACGTACGTATTCCTACATGTTCTACGTTGACCCTACTTTGCCCTTTTATATCCACCTTTATAATCAGAATGTACAATAAGCATTCAATTAAAAATATA